GCTTCTGCACTCCACAAGCTGGAGGTCTTCTGGAACCCGTGTTCTCCGCTCGGGTGACCAACTGCTTCCACTCTACCCCCACCTCAATCCTCCCCTGCGACGCCAGCATTCCCCTGTTCGGTAGTCCTCACCCCCACAAGTGCTGCGTGGCGGCCTTGAGGATGGCCTGCTCACTGCCCGAGGTGAACCCAGCTTTGGCTAGGCTCCCTCTGTCCTTCCCCTCTGCTTCAGCAAAGAGGGCCGTGGATTCCAACCAGGCCCTGTCTGTCGGACTGAAGGGCAATGGCTACCCCCTCCTCTGGAAGGCCCCTAGGCCCTCTCTGGCGATACGAACCCACCTTCCCATTGATGGAATAGCTCACTCTCTCGCTTGAATTGCCATCAGGGGCACTCTGCCAGGTGTGACCAGGCACTTGGTCCCTGGGCCAGTCAACACTCTTGCCTCCTCGTAAAAGTACTCTCTCCTAAAAGGTACTACCCGGTCCCTCCTTCTCCAAGACTCAGTGCTGCAGGCCCTCCCCCACCTATACTACTCCTATCCTCTGCCAGAAGCCCCGCACTCCTTCATGGGGCTAGAGCGTTTCCTGGCAGGCAGAATACATCAAATGAGAGCTGGAAAGAGCTATCTAGTGGCACATACCCCCTGGAATGAGCCAGACAAGCCTACCACCTGTCCTGCATACGGCCATGAGCCTGCGACTATGCAGCATGCCATCCTCTCCTGCCCCTTGAAGGCCCCCTCGATGCTTCTCCATATCCCAGAAGTGGTTAACTTGGGCCTTGAGGCTCCTCTCTGGGCTGATAAGGATCTCTTATGGGCCCTCGCGCGATACATTTCCAATACCAGAACCAACTTTCCCCCTGCTATGGGCGGAGCGCGGGCGTCGCCCAGTATCAATTCTGTTTCAGATTGAAGTGGTGGTTTTTCTTCCTTTTGGTGGCCTTCCTGGCTTTTACTTAACTTTCCCTGCTTTGTGTTTACTTCGTGTGAGAGGGGGCCTGTCTTTTCTTTCCCGATTAGTCACCCTGGCGGGTGCATTGGGTTGCGTTGCCCACAGGCGGGGATTGTTGGCAGGGAAATATTTCGTTATTGTTTGTTGCTTTTGACCTTAAGGTTTTGTTTTTGCCATAGCTAGTGCTCCATGCAGGTTCTTATACCATAGCAAAGAATATATGAGTTAAACAAAAAAAAAAGAAAATGTCTAGCTTTCAGAATCATCAGTGGATAGGGAGGGGCTCCTATCAATATATTTATTATACTTTGATATCTACCATTTACGAAACTTCCTTGACTATTTTCTGAAAAAGCTTCTTTGTCCTAGTTGCAATTCATTTGACTTTAGAACTAGCTACTACCTATCATGAAACTATAGCTCCTTGTAGGAGCAGCACTTAATCTGGCCAGGTTCTGATAAAGGGTGGACTTTGGCACCAGATTCTATAGGCATCTCTTCCATGCAGTACCTAATATGTGGCATCCTGGTTCTACTCCACGTCAGTGTTTTAATAGTGTATTGAATATCTATTTGCTACTAATACTTACAGAGCAACAACTGGTTGTAGGAGTTGGTTTTATCCTAGCAAGGGTCTGGTACAGTGCTGACTTTGATACAAGATATCTGGGATGTCCTTTAAGTGAACTGGCTAATATATATTACCCTAATCCTACTTGATACTAGCCATTTAATTGCACATTAAATATCTACCCTGCCCTAATATTGATGCAGTTTTATCCTGCAACAGAAGTAGTATCATAGAAGTGTTAGGAATTAAAGCTGTCTTCATTGTTCATGATTGCATCAACTTGAACCAGTGAGAAAGTGACCTAAATTTTTAAATGTGGTTCGATACAAAGAAGTACATGGCAACTGATACTAGACACTTAAACAATCTTTTCTCCATCACTTTATGACATTTAAGGATTCTGTGATGTTTTTCATATTATTTACAGGTTTGCTAATGTATGGATAAATTTCCACAGGTTCTCATAGACATTGCGTGATGAGAGAGGGTGGTGAAGATGGGCACTTTTGGTGTAGCAAGGGCATCGGACAATCCCTTTTCTCCTAGTACTTTAGGAACGGAAAAGTTCCTGTGAAAGTCAACCACAAATCTCATGAAAAAGCTCTGTTCCCCCTGCCAACCACACACACACAAACACACAAACTCACACACACAAAGACACAAACACACACACACAACATACACGAAACATACACAAAACATACACACAAACACACAGACAAATGCACTCACGAAAACACCACTAGACTAACCATTACACAAACTGACGGAGAGGTTGCAGCTCAACAATGAGACTCCGCCTCTTCATCCAGCGGAATCGTCTCCCACCCACCAAGATATGGTGGGACACATCCTCCTTCGAACCCGGCGACGACCACAATATTAGCACGCTCCTATCGCGAGTGGCCCAGATCGTGCCGATGGAGTCTGGAGGTTGGGGATTGGAGGATTATGCGGTTGAAGTGGATGGCTTTGAGGTTTTACATTTCCAGGAGGTGGAGAGAGTTATTAGGGAGGGGGATGAGGTTGTGTATGTCTCTCCCCCCATGTGGCATTGTTTGAGCATATTTTCAATCGGGTGCTAATTTGATGTGTAGTATTCGCCCTTTGACTACAACCGAGATTCGACAGAGGAGGGCTAGCGGGCGACGGCAGATTAGTACTTCGGGACGGAAATTGCTGGACGGGACGCCGTTTGGGAGGCCGATGATTACGACTAGGCCTGCCCCTGACAGGCCTAGGCTTTCTATACCGCCAAGGAAGAGGGTGAAGACTGGCTACAATGCTGATCATTCTACTCTTGTACAAGTTAGGTGCGACGATGACGGCAAGAGTGGCCGTGGAGACGAGAGTGACGACGAGAGCTACCAGGAACCGGATGAGGAGCAAGAGGGCTCTGGGATAGGTGACTGGGAGGAGGAGCTTGGGGCTGATATGGGGGCAGAGGTCACGGCTCATGCCGAATCAGATGATGAGGAAGAAGATGGTACCGACGACGCGGACTTTGAAGAACTCTCTAGAGACTATGAAAACCCTCTTATGGATTACTTCGAGAGTGATGAAGCTGCACCCCCCCGGGTTTCTACCTCTGAGCCGCCGTCCCAATCGGAGACAGTTTTCGGGGCCCGAGACACCCAATCTTTGCAAGGACAGAATGGAAGCCTTCAAGGGGATACCTCTGAGGATGGCGATGACTACACTGACAGCGAGAGCTCACAGGACAGTTATTTGTCGGACGATGGTGATAGCTCCGGCAATATTCCAAATAGCGGCGAGGAAACCATGAGGGTAGATGTTATCGGTCAAACAGGGGACTTTTTCCTCCCAAAGTATTTTTGTTCAGATGCAAACGTATTTGGAGGTGTAGTTGATTCGCCGAAATTGACTCAACTTTATCAATCTGACGACATGTCGGGGGGGGCGGGGGGGGACGAAAGCGAGCGCGACTCAGAGCATCAGAGTCTCACCGAATCTCCAGCGCCTGCCGGACCAGAACAAGATGAAGGTTCTCGTAGTGGCTCGGCAGATTCTTCCGATGATTCTAAACCGGAGGGATTTGGTGAATCTGAGATGGTAGGAGTACAGAAAGGCAGGATAAGTTCTAAGGTGACCAGGTAAACACACCCAGGGAGCATTCTTTGAATCTTTGCTAAATCTATACCTCAAAAGAAAAAACCTAGTCCCGTGTGCTTCGCAGGGACCTCCGTCTTTCAGGGTGCCGCCGGTGCCAATAAGGCAACCGAAAGAACTTGCCGTTGCCCCGGGGGCCCTCCCATACCAAGGGAATCGCGGGACCAAAGCTAGGAATGAGCGCAAGAAGCAGAGACGTAAGAACGGGCGGTTACTCACCGAGCTTGTTAATTCTGGGGTGTTACCAAAAGGCTCTACCATCGATGATCTAAAGACATACCAGAGCAGACGTAATCTTGAAGATGCGGATGAACAGTTGACGGACAAGCATCAGCCCTCTCACATTGATGGCGGTGGTGGAAAACAAATAGGTCTTGAGCTATCCGAAAAACGAGGTGCCGAGGAGCCTCTCCGAGATGTCGCGGATCATGTTTTACGGAGGGCTCTACAGGGACAGCAGTCGAATAACTTACCGGGAGAAGGGGCTAGCAAGAAGGGCCAGCGTAAGAAACTTAGGAAGGCTTTCACTAGAGCTAAGAAGAAGAGGAGCGTTCCAGAGGATTGGGAGTTCAACCGGTGGTTGGCCGAACGCCAGAAAAAGGCAGTGGCGGAAGATCAACTTACCAGAATGGATGTTGAAGACGGCTTAGATGGTGATGTGTCTCTGGAATCCGGTGGGAGGCCTGTAGAACTACGTTCCAAGCTATCGTCTAAGCAAACGGGTGTTTGTCTCCCACGAGATCAACCTCCACCCCTACCTCCACATCGAGATCCTCTCATTCCCGCCCAGGACAGGAGCTGCCCACGGGGCCCACGGAAAATTGTCTATGATGAAAACGGGGTCCCTAATCCAGTCTATGCAGGATTTGACGAGCAACAGTGTGAGGCAGAAAATTCGGAGGCATGGCAGAACAAAATCGTTTTGAGCGCTGTGGAATGTGAGCAAGAGGGAGTGGAGATACCAACTCCCGAGTTCCCATTCAAGCAACCGACGTACCAGCCGGGCTTTGGATGGGAGGCTACTGGAAATGATAAAAGGAAGAGAAACGGTGACACGAAGAAGAAGAGAAAGCGGAGACAAGACAAGGAGAACTACAGCTACGATTATGATTATCAGAGCTGCCAAGACCCTGGTTATGGCGACTGGGTAGGCCACGATTACTATGATGATAGCACAGCGGCTCCTGCACCTAAGGGCAGGACTACAGACATGGCGGAGGCCAACCCGGTCGATGACCTGCCGCTTCTGCCAGAGAATATTGCGGCATTATATCCACTCACACAACCGGTTATTCCTGGCACTATTGTTGCATTCAAACAATTGATGTTGACTGAAGATTACACTCCAATCATGGCAGATTATCGAACTGCTATCGTGCAGGCTGTGCATGCGCAGGAAAAAGATGGACCAACTTTAGAGCTACGGTTGGCAGTAAGAGATAGACCAAAGCGCCGTATTAATCCTGAAACTGGCGAGAAGATTCTACGCAAGTTTGAGATCCCCGGTGACGAGAATGAGGATGAGGGATTCCTGGATTTGATGTTTGGGCAATTGTTGGAAGCCAAGGTTGTTCGGCTCCCGGAGGGCCTAGACCACGGCAGGATTGCAAGCAGCGATGGAACCGGGGGCACCGGTGAAACTGGAGACACACAAGAGGGCAACCCAGACGAGGAGAGGAATGAGGGAAACGTGCGCTGCGGTATTCCCGAGGAGGCCGATAGCTACCCTCCTAGTGTCCAGGTAAACGCTACTTTATATAATGGGCTTGCATCATGTTCGGCCGAGGGATCTCAAGACCAGGAGCAGGACCTCGAACTGGATTTAGGGCCAGAGACACAAGCCGCCCAACCGCAAGAGTGTTTAAAATCCCCCAGTCCAGTGGATGGTGTCCCCGGCACCGCGGTGGCTTTGTCTAGTGCGCCGACATCCCAAGTTGAAGCGTCTATTGCACCTGTTTTTGACAACCGGGAAAGTGACCCCTCATACGAGCCGGAATCGGTTAGTGACTCAGACGGCCTAGAAACCCTTGAGAGCATGTTTGCCTCTTCGCAGAGGGTCAAGCCGGAGCCTTCCAGCCAGAGGTCCCCCGTCTTACCACCGCTCCCGATGTTTTCACCCTCGGGTGTAGGCGTCGAGGAGGACGACGAGCAGTTTCAGAGGCAAATGCGGGGGCGGGCGACAAGTGAAGAACCCACGGCCCCCAAAGCCATTAGGACAAAAATCTCAAATGGTGTCAAAATTGCTAATTCGGAGGCGCAAATCATTGACCTGACTGGGACGAGTGACCCAATCGTCATGGATGATAGCCTGAGGGGGAGGGTAGGTGGCGGGAGAAGCAGGGCCAAGGGGAGACAATGGCGGGCAGTCAAGGGCTAAATTTAAATTTCACTTCTGATACTTTCTTTTTGATTTCATTTTTGCTTCTATCTCCTTTCAAACACCCTTGGAATTCATTTAGTTGCCATGTTGGAGGCCTTGCTTCGGTGTTTGTGCCCAAAGTATTATATTCCACCTTTAGCCATCCGACCTTTTTGTACTTGTACTTTTCTTTGAAGTTAGGGGGAGGGTAATTAGGAGTGCATACCAATGGTACAGGGAAGTGGGGAAGGGTCTATAATATTGTACAACTAACGCATTCCATGCCTCTCACTCCATTTAGCACCGCTACGAGTACGCGGCATTATCATCCCTCGCCGTTACAACCGGCACTCGGGGCCCCAATAACTGACGAAACACTCTGCGACTTCTTATACTCCTTCTCCAACTCCTGCTGAATCTCGGAATCCAATTGCCTCTCACGCTTTGTTCTCATGCGCTGCTCGTCGCGGATGACGCCGGCGTGCATTGCCTAGGTTCCTCATCGAGTTAGTTTGTTGCGGTGCTGGTGAATTGGGAACGCGAAGGGGGACAGACAGCTTGTTCGGCACGCTGGAGGTAATGTACGAACCAGATGACTCCTCCGCAGAGGAGGGTGGTTGTTGCGAGGGTTGCTCTGGCAGCACGAGACATTTTGGATGTATGAAAGTGGGGGATGGACTGATCGCCGAAGGGTTAGTCTGCTAGACCGGTAGCAATTTAGAGAGGTTGCGCGAGATCTGCGGGGCTTGGCTAGGGTTGATTCTGACACCCGAGTACTCGACATTTGAGACTTTGCGTTGCATGTATCCAGAGTCATTTTTAGGGTCTTGGCTTGCATATGCCAAGATTAGCAACATCCAGATCTTGATTTGACTCTGAGGCAGTGGCAAATACAACAAATTTGACCTCTAGGACTGTGAAATTTCTTCATGCCCCCAATACTACTCTGTTTCAAATTAATTTCATTGTTCCTGAGACCTACAAAGCAGCAGAATGAGTGATTTCCATTTTTCTTTATTTGAATTTGAATTGGGTCTAGCTGAGCTGGAAATCTATCACCATGTGTCAGTATGGACCAATGAACATTGGCGAGGTCAAGAGTGGGAGGGAGGTGCAATTGATTTGGAGGCTCTAGAGCCTGAGGCATGGAAGACATACTTTAGGTACTGTATATAAAATGATAATAATATTCCAAATATATTATATAATGAATAATTAATAACTTAAAAAGGGTTTTTAAGTATGAGATAGAAAGATTAGTTTGGTATCTGGAGATACTAGAAAAGGTTTCTGAGGATAACATGATTTATGAGCCTGATGGGATAGTACTTTGCAGGCTTCTAGTATGACTGGCATGGCCGTACAGATTATCCGACATGTACCTGCAGTTTGGATACAAGCCTGAAAGGGTATTACAGATTACCCATATGCTTTTACGGTTCATCTATGATAGTTGGCACTATCTGCTAGTTTTTGATAGTGAGCGCCTTACTCAGAAACCACTAGCAATGTACAGTGTTGCTATCAAGGAAAAAAATGCTCCATCGGAAAGCTGTGGGAGTTTTATTGATGGGACCTGAAGACCTATTGGACAGCCAACTTATGGGCAAGAGTCAGTATACAATAGATGGAAACAATTTCAATGCCTTAAAAACCAAGCAATTGTTGCACCCAATGGGAGTATCACACATTTATATTGACCAGTGAAAGGTTGGATACATGATGCTGCAGTTTGGATGGAGAGTGGAATATTGGAAATTTTAGATACTTCTGCCTATGCTCCCAATGGTTCCACATTACAGATATATGGTAATCAAGCCTATGGAATTAGTGACCATCTGATATCACCATTTGCTGGTGCTATGATCACACAGGAACAACGGGAGTAGAATAAAGCAATGTCACGAGTAAGAATTGTTGTTGAGTGGTGCTTTAAAGAGGTACTTCAGCTCTTTTCTGCATTGGATTTTACATGCACTCAACAGGCTTTGCTTTCTCCAATTGGCTTACAATATCCTGTCGTGGTTCTTTTATATAACACTCATGTCTGCTTACATCATCCCCAAATCCCCCAGTAGTTTGATCAAGACTATGAATTTGATCAATATGCTCTGGTTGATAAACCAGAACTTTCTAAGCCATGAACATTAGAAGAATATTTTCATTATCATGATGATTGTAAGTTTAACAACCTTTACTATAATCACAACTCTATGCTAATTACTGAAATATGTTACAGGACTGCGAACTGCGCAGTCTACCTGTCACTCTGCCAGTTAATTCAAGCACTGGCATTCTGTCTATCGGTATTCAGCTCCCGGCAGGACAGATGGTAGGACCGGAGCAGATACCTGAGAAGAACAGCCATCCCAGGATTTGCTTCAACCATTGCCTATAGAGTTCGTTACGGGGCCTCCGGGGCCCCGAAAAACACGGGCCCCTGGCCCCCATTCCCTGTCCCGGCTCGCTCACCGGCCCGGAGAGGGGTATTTTTGGAGGCTGGCCCTGCCCTATCACCCACCAGGGGCCCCGCCCCACCCATGCTCCAGACAGGCCCCCGGCAAATTTAGGTGGGAAGATATGGGGCCCCAGACGGGGCCGGGGTGGGGAGGACTGCCACAATACCTTCCCTAGGCCCGTATAACTACGGGGCCCAAGAGGGCAAACCCTGCCCTACCCCGCCCTATAACGAACACTAATTGCCTAAGATGGACAGGCGGGCCCTGCAAGTGTCTCAAGTGGCTGAATCTGTCAGGAACCTGTATATGACCTGAGGGTCCTGCAGGTAACAGGTAAACACTACCGGTAATGGGTGTACAATGGAGGTAATAGGCAGGCTCCTGACGGGTACGCTCTAGGGGTGACAGATCGGTGGGCTCCAAGAGTGACAGGCTGGCTCTGGGAGTGTTGAGCGCAGTCACGGTGTTCGCAACGGGACAGTCTACTCGGTCATTTTCTCAACATGTCCAACAAGTAGGAATGAAGAACCAAGACAAACTACATTGTATCATCCCATCCGGTCTTTTCCTGAACTTGCCTGACATATAAGAGCTGATATATAAGAGTAAAGCGCTATCCACCGACAGTTTCCTGCGATTACCAACAGTCATCCACTATTTTCTGCTGTGCCTTAAATCCCTAATCCTTTCCTACCATCCTCTATGATCTGTGGTGGTCCTATATTGTTACCTACCATCCCCTATCAGAAGTTGCCTCAGATGATGGGGCTTATCCTCCTGTCTTATGACAGCCATCCTAGGAGTTCAAGGACAAGGACGGGCAATATGTTGCTGTCCTGTCCTGTCTTGGTCCCTGGAGGATTGAGAACACTGGATGGGCAGGCTCCAAAGATGAACAGCAGGGGTGATGGGTGGGCTCCAGGGTTGATAGGTAGGCTCCAGAGGTGATTGGGGGGCTCCGGGAGTGATTGGGGGGCTCTGGGGCTAGCAGAGGGGCTCTAGAGATGATGGTCAGGCTACAGGAGTGATGGGAGAGTGGGCTTCGAGGGTGACCGGTGGGCTCCGAGGGTGACAGGTGAGCTCCGAAGATAATGGCTAGGCTCCTACGATGATGGCCAGGCTTCAGAAGTGACAGGCAGGTTCTGGGAGTGACAGGTGGGCTCTAGGGGTGACAGGCAGGCTCTGGGGGTCATGGGCAGGCTCCAGGAGTGACGGGCGGACTAGGGGGTTGACGGGTGGGCTGCAGGTATGATGGGTAGGATCCAGGTATGATGGGCGGACTCTCGGCATAATGGGTGGATCTGGAGGTAACGGCCAGGCTCTGGCTCTGGGGGTAATGGGTGGGTGGGCTCTAAAGGTGATGGTTCAGGGGTGACGGGGAAGCTGTAGAGGTAATGGATGGGCTATGGGAGTGACCGGTACGCTTCGAGGGTGATTGGCAAACTTCAGGGATAATGGGTAAGCCATGCCGATAATGTGCCAGTACAGGCCTTGTGGACGACAGGTTGACCCTGCTGATAATAGGTGGACCCTACAGATGACCGGTAGACCGTGCAGATGATAAGTAGGACCGGGAGATGATAGGTGGGCCTGAGGAGAATGTATAGACTCTGCGGATAATATGTAGGTCCAGAGGATGATGGGTAGTTATTAGGCACATGCTTTTGTAGTATTAGGTCAAGAGGTAAAGGACCGTGTTTAGTTTCTTTCATATCCTGTACTGGTACACATAGGATATCAGTTACTGTTAGTGGTTTTGTACTGTTTTTTTACATCTCATACTAAACAAAATTGTAATAATATACCACAAGTTATTGATACATATTACTATTATCTCAATTTCGTGATACAAGAGTTTGTAAAAGCATTTGAATAGCCTCATTTGTTTGCTAATTACTTTCAATCAACAAATTAATTTTTCTGCCTAACTTACGCTGCTCTGCAGCACTTTCATGCTCTTGCTCCTCCTTCTGCTCAATTTTCTTTCTCAACTCACTAGCCTTCTTGTGAAGGCCATCAACAACACCTGCAACCTCCTTAGCGAAGAGGTTTTTTGCTTGCTTTGGTCGCTTGCGTGGTTAGGTTGGAGATATTTCTCAATCAATATTTGCTTCCTGCTAGCTGTGACTAATGCCAGCCTTGTGTAATTCCAAGAATTGTTTTCGGACAAGGCCTCGCATGGAGCACTCTTGGAGCTTCTTGCTATCATCCCTCTTCTTTTCTAATTTCCTCTTTGCGAGATATTTAATATTGGCATTCTTTGATAATAGCTCATATTTGAGTGTAATATTATTGAGTCATTCGATATGATCGGTAACTTCCTCCTCTGTTCCAGTTTTTTCTTTAGAATGTATTTGCATTTCCTATAATTAATTTAATATCTATTTACAAGCTATCCTTCTATCTTATTAATTGAAATTAACATACTTGACTAACCTTATACCACTGAACTAGCTTTTCCATACTATCTTTACAGGCAGACAAGAATCGACTCATCCTGTAATTGGTGAGACTTGTTGAAACGTCACTCCATTGGTCTTCTTTTCTTGCTAACTG